GGATGACAATGTGAAGTTTGCTTTATTTAAATTAACATAATGAAAATCGCAGACGTTTCGATCTTGTTTTGACTCCTTATCAATGTTCCATGTTTGTTAACAAAAATTTAATCATCTTAGAGTAGTAATGTATCAGTGATATCATCGTACTTGTTGGTATACTGTATAATAAATTATTTATCGAATGTTATCGTTATATAATAGAATATAAATACGTAAATATAATTCTCTAACTTACATAATCATCGAAACATTATCAAGCTGTTCATGCATCGAAACTCTGATGAGACAACAAGACACACAGTACATATAAAATATAAAATATAGAATATAATGAGCGCGTTATTTAAACATAATTATGTTATCATAAGCTTTGTCCAATAATTTCGTATCATTCTGTAAATTTAAATCATTAATTTGTTGTCTAATAAAAGTAGTTTCTGAATCTCTTATTCAAAATTTTTTCCTCATCTAAAATGCGTTGTCTCAATTCAGAATTCAGAAGAATTCATGAGAATATTTCAATCGATGTTCCGTAATAACTTGTGTGATATTCCAATTCATGAGACTCGATGTTCGGCGCATAATAATGTTTCGATGATCGTGTAAGTTAGATATAATTATTTTTACATTTATATTCTATTATGTAACGATTCGATAAATTTATTGTGTAGTATACCAAACTGTACATCACTGTTACATTACTCTAAGATGATTGAATTTTTGTTAACGATTTACATAGAGCATTGATAAAAATCTAAAACAGGATCAAAACATCTGCAATTTTCATTATGTTAATTTAAATAAAGCAAACATTACATTGTCATCCAGTGTTGATTCGTCTAGAATTCTATAAATATTATAATAGAAGAAAGTAAAATAATAGAAAAGTAGATTTCTAAAATTCTAGTAAAATAGAAGTAGTAATTTTTAGTTCTATTCTCTTTATAATAGTATGCTATTACATTATAATAGTATACTATTATAATAGCTCGATATTTTTAAAAACGAAATAAAAACAAATAATAAAAGAAAATAAATGGGTTGCTTAAAAAATTTTTGTCTGTCAAAGTTTGCTTTCTTTCCAGCTCTAAATAAGAATCGTTAGTTGCGTTATTTTACCTCCTACATTGTACCTTACATTCGTCATAAGATATAAAGGAAATCGGATGCGGAAAATGATAAAATGGAGAAGATTTTCTTTAAAAAGAATCGCACAAATTTCGATCGAGATCCAAGGATTCGTTGCTTCAATCGCTATTATATCCCTATTTCACGAACAGGTCGATCCCTTCCGGGGAGAGACTTTCCACACAAAAACATGCCCGTCGCGATTATCAAATGCCGAGTACGATCGGCAACTCACCGCGATTGAAAGTGGCCGCCAGGACGACGAAGACGAGGCCGATGATTAACGCAGCTTGATTCGCGATCATGGTCATCGCGATCGCCGGACCATGTGCTCGTGAATCTAATCGTGCCGCGGTGCCCGCGACCGTCGCATGAAAGGTATTCCAGTCGTCGTCGTCGCCGTCGTCGTCGGGGAAAAGATCGGACAGTGCGTGAATATACGCGTTCGCCTCTCCTCCTCGTCCTCGTCGTCGTCGTCGTCGTCGTCGTCGTCGTAATAGCAGTCGTTGTTATTGCCGTCGTCGTCGTCGCCGCTTTCCGGCCGGAATGAGAGCGCGAGACTCGATCTCCGTTCCCTTCAGGGACGGTAATTCGTTCTCGGGTCGTGCGCCGCGTTCACCACCTCACCCGGACGCATAGCAACTGACTGACGCGCGTTACGCGACCGAGTTACCGAGTTTCTCTGGAGCACTATATATCCGCACGCTATGCGGCAGATCCACCCCCTCGAACACCCGTGATGCGCTCGCCACCGCTGCCGCCGCCGCCGCCGCCGCCGCCGCCGCCGATTCTCCCTGCATTCAAATTCGTTTCCTGGTTTGTCG